CTGGGCTCAAGCGATCCTCCTGCCTCAGCCTCCCAGGTAGCTGGGACTACAGGCACGTGCCACCATGCCCAGCTAATTTTTTCTATTTTTAGTTGTTTGGCCAATTTCTTTCTATTTTTAGAAGAGACGGGGTCTCACTCTTGCTCAGGCTGGTCTCGAACTCCTGAGCTCAAATGATCCACCCGCCTCAGCCTCCCAGAGTTCTAGGATTACAGGCATGAGCCACCGTGCCCGGCCTGATACCTGTGGATTTTATATGCAGACACATTTAGGCACAGAAATGTCCTTGTCTTCAAGCTGGCAGCTAGGACATCCCCCGTGCAAAGAAAACTGTGATAAAGTCTGATTCAAACAATGGACCTAAATAAACCACTTTTACTGAGTTAAAAAATAGCTACTTCGAGAGGACATGCTGCTATTAAAATAATTCCGCTATTGTTTCTAACATGACGAAGTTTTTGATTACCTTTTAAACTTGCAATTTGTATATTAGCTTTTTAAAAAAATGCTGGATTAAGTTGTTTTCTGTGTTTGGCAGGCACAGACACACAAAAAGATCCTGCAAACACTGGTCAGCAGCCGTAGTGGACAGATTTTCCATTCTGCATAAGAAGGGTGGGAACTGAAATGCCAAGAAGACTTTGTCGCAGAGGATAACAAGGAACAGCTCACTTGTATACAGACGGCCTCTGACTTAGGATGGTTCGATTTAGCATTTTTCAAATTTACGAAGGTGTGAAGGTGGTTTGCATTCGGTAGAAACCATCTTTGAGTACGTCCAGCCACTCTGTTCTTCGCGGTCAGTACAGCATTCGATACATTACGCGGTACTCAACACTGTATTGTAAAACAGGCTTGTGTTAGGTGCTTGTGCTGACTGTAGGCTAATGGAAGTACTTGTTCTGGGCACGTTTAAGGCGGATTAGGGTACGCTGTGGTGCTTGGTAGTTTAGGGATATTAAATGTATTTTCACTTAACCACGGGTTTATCAGGACATGACGCATCGTAAGCCGAAGAGCTGCGGGATACATTTTAGTGCCTGCTGTGCTTTAGTATAAATGATCTCGTGTGACAAACGGGGTGACTGGAGTCCTGGAAAGTAAGGTTATAAACCCGAGACCCTGCCTGTGGTCGCTGGCCAGTCCCCGACTGGGCTTTGGTCCCCCTGCTCTGCGTCCTGCCCTTTCTAATACCCGGCGCCACAGCAAGAAGCCAGCCGTGGGCGCGGCACGCTTGTAAGCCAATGTGCTGATCTTCAGAAAAACGGCCCAAATGGATGTTCCCTCCAGGATCCACAGGCTGCGTGCCAAACCCAACAATCATACCATGTGCAAAACATCTTGTAACTCCTGTTGGGAGTGGCCTTCCAAATTCACAGAGGCAAACCTCGTACAGATTTCACTCTGACCTCTATCTTATTTCCTCGACGTGCTGCAGCTTTGTGCAAAACCCCGTGCTGTGGGGACCCGGGGCAGCCTGGCCGTGATTTAATGAGAGCTGGGGGCAGGGGAGGGAGGCAAGAATTTCCACTTGGGGGTGGGCCGGCTTCGGGGCCAGGGCTGATTTGATCCTTGCTGGGCAGGAAGCACCTGTGTCAGATGCGGACACAGGGGAGTGGCATTTTTGAGAGAACGCCCAGGTGGTCACGTAGGTGCCTGCTGTAACTTAGCTCTCTGCTCCCCTGAACCATTTTTGGTCCTCTGAACACGGTGCTGCTGCGAAACCCTGGACCTTTGTGCAGGTTATTCCTGTGGCTGAACCGCCGTCTCGCTCTTCTGCTAGACACGCTGCTAATTCCTCTCTCTAAGCTGAGCTCTCACGATGCTTCTCCTCCAGGAAGAGCACCCCCTGCTCCCCGCCTTTCCATAACTAGGCTGGAGCAGGGAGGGAACTAGCATTGGCTGAGACCACCGCTGGCTGGCACGGTGCCAGGAACTGTGACCTTGTTCGACCTTCCCAAGTCTCCTGTGACACAGCATCATCTTTCTCATTTTAAAGACTTGGAAACAAGCCACACAGCTAGTGGGGGCAAAGCCAGTCTGCCCCAAAGCTGAGCCTCACTGTGTTCCTGTCGTGTCACGCTCTAACGTCCTTTGGGAGCCACCTCTGCCCTGGCAGCTGTAGTCGGGCAGTGGCCCATCCTCGCTCACACATGGCTGGGTTAGCTGTGGAAAGCTGGGGCCATCGATTGGCAGGTGGCGAGATGGGGCTGATGCCCAAGGCCTTGCCCATGGCCAGCCCAGCCGCAGGCCTGGTGGAAGAGAGCTGGCTTTGTGGTCCTCAGGTGTCCCTCTCGGCCAGTGGCAATGGTGGCTGCCATTCAGGTGAGAAGAGTGAGGGTCCGGGCAGTCACAGGTGCTCCCTTCCTCACTCCCCTGCTCACGGGCAGATGGAAGACAGGGCCCAGTGGTCACCTGCCACCCTTCTCCCCTGGGCGTCCTCGCTCAGTGGCTGGCAGGACCGAGTCTTCCCCGCACCCTCCTCCCAGCGCCCAGCGACTCCGAAGCTCCCAGCTGAGGACGGCCACCTCCTGCCACTCGTCTGCTACCTGCTTGTCTGTCTTTCTCAGTTCTGTTCTGTACCTCATGCAAAAGCACTTTTGATTAAATTACAAATGTGATAACACTATGAAAATGTTCATGGAATTGAATCAAACCATTTTGGATATTCAGGGTTTTTTGGATTTATAAGGAAATCAGGAAACAATTTTTTGCATTTTCTTATCAGGTTTATTATAGAGACATGAAACTCTGAGTACCATATCAAGTAGAGAGAGAAACCCCCACGATAAGTAAAATGAACACCCTGTGCTATTTCTGTCTCTCGCACCTTCTTGCCCCGTGGCTGTCTCAGTGCCCTCCCTTTCATCCTCACCTCCCGGGCAGACTACCTGAAACTCACTGAGAGGTCCCCGAGGACCCTGGCCGGCTGCCGTTTTTTTCTGCAAGGGGTGATATGGAAGCAATTATAAGCAAAGTGTGGTTGACACAAGGGTCCTGATCCTTCCGTGCTCATTTCATGACCCCATGCCTTGGAAAGAGTTCCCAGGCATAAAGCCAAAGAATGGCGTTTTACCAAAATTCTGTTAAGTTAAATTCCAAGAGGAACACAGCATGCACACAGCTTCCCGTGTGTAGAGCAGTTGCTGAGTGTCTGCTGATGCTGCTGCATTATGGGGGTGCGTTTCGAAAGACCAAAAGCCAGCCTTCTGCAAGCAGGGCAGCCTCGCTGGCTCGAGGATCGGGCTCGCGACTTTGTGTCTGCAGGTCTCTGTGGCTGCATCGTGGTGTCGGCCGCGTGGCGCATGGAGATCTAGAGCCCAGGGGCCGGCAGGAGCCCCCTCGGCAGGAAGCTGGCGGGGCCCCCCTCGGTTGGCCTGGCTTCGCACGGCCTGGCTTTGGCCTTTCAGTCTGTTGTCGGGTGACTGCCTGAAATAGTCTTGAAAATCTAGACATTTCTTTTAAGCACTGGGAGTATTTCTTTCAAATAAGGGCTTTGAACAACGAGCCTGCAGTGTTTATAAAGGCCCCCAATCCCTTATCTGACTTTGTGCGGCCAGGCGTGTTTTGGGTGGTAGAAAGATAACGTGGGACGTATAACTTATATTTTGCATAGGGGGCAGCGCCAGGAATCAAAAAATTAATAATTCTGCTGCAAAATGTATGTGAATTCGTCCCAGATAGAACACACACACACTATAAATAGCCTCACATCTTTTCAGGTGGGCTTTGACGCCACAGGAGGCCAAATGAGTCGTGAAAATCTGGTAGTTTTTGGAGTTTTTTGACTTTGGAATTATTCCTATGTCTAGGCACTGGAGGGACAGTTTCGACTTCATGGAGCTGCTTACAGTCTACTCGGGGGGCACGACACCAGCCAGCGTCTGAACAGCGCAGAGTCCCTTATCTAAGTGTCGTTCCAGGGCCACCCCAGGCTGCCTGGTGCATGCGCGCGTGCTGTGGCCTCCACGTTTCTCAGTGGCCCGTGCAACCCCCAGGCCGGGAGGCAGAGTGGGTGTGGCACGGGGAAGGAATCCGAGGCCCGGAGCAGTTCGGTGACGTGCTCAGGATTCGAGCTCTCTGGGTCTGGTACAGCCCTTTTTCCAGAGCCCCCTGAGGCCCGTTTTCCCCAGCTGGTCCTTCAGGGCACTTGGTAACACATGCAATAGGGTGCAAAAAGCAACTTCGGGATTTTATATTTGTCTCAGGGCCTCAGAGGCGCTAGGATGATCTCCGGTCTCACGGAGCGCTGTGAGCGTTCTGGGAAGAAAGAGACGCCTTTGTGTGCTGACGTGGGAGGAAGAGTCGCTGGTGGGGAAGAGGGTGGGATTAGAAAATACGCTCAACTCCTAATGAAAATGAGTCCATAGACTTTCTGTAAAGGATAGAAAAGAGAGAGGAGAGTGGCGATCCTTTCCCTGCGCTCCGACCTCCCTCCCGCAGGATTGTGGGGCTGGGCCGTCCTCTTAGGGCACATGTCAGCTGGTGGGGAGGGTCACCGGGTCCCCGCAGGGGCTCCGGCCTGAGGTCCCCTGGCGTAGAGGAGAAACGCCCAGGGGATCCTGGGTGGCCTTCCTCGCCACCACCGGGACACAGCACTCGCTCCACCTCCAGATTGTGTCCCTGGTGGCTCCTCCCCGGTGCCTGCTCCCCCAGTTCCCCAGCCCGAGACCTGCTCCGACTCCCGGTGCCGTAGCGGAGTCTCCTCCAAGCTCCCCGTGCCTGTGGCTTTATGGGCCGCACCAGCTCCAGCTGGAAACAGAAAGCCCAAGGAATGTGCCTGCCGGGGTCACTGCAGTGGCCCGCCCCGGGGGCAGGCAAGGGTCCCAGGGTCCCGTCTGCTGAGGCCTGACTTAGCTCTTCTCAGGCGTGGGTGTTACGGCTCTCCGGGTGAGGCCGAAGCGTAGCCAGAGCTGACCTAGCCCCTTCCTCGGACCGTTCTGCGGCTTCAGATTTTCCCAGGACCACCCAGGTGGACGCGGCAGGCCTGCTCCTCCTCCGCGGCTGTCCTGATGCTGCACACCTGGTCCTGGGCCCGGTTAAGCAGCGTCGTGGCAAAGAGATGCTCCTTAACTACCTCGGCTGCCCCGAACGGCCTCTGCTGTTCTCATCGCGAGGTTTCTCTCCACTGCTGGATTATAAGCGTCCTGAGGGCAGGGACCAACCTGTCCCTTTCCCCAGCCTCGGCTGGGCGGTGGCGCTGGCCCCTCCTCTCTCCTGACCGACTGTCCCTTCCTTCCAGTGCCAGGACTACCGGGGCGGCGCGCTCACGGGGGACCTCTGCGAGGACCTGTGCGTGGCGGGGAAGCTGCTGTACCGGCGCTGCCTGTACTACGAGCGGGGCAAGAAGGTGCTGCAGGCCGACTGGCGCGGCCGGCCCGTCGTGCTCAAGTCCAAGAGCGAGGCCTTCTCCAGCTTCCAGCCCCTCGGCTTGCTGGACGGGGAGGCGGAGGAGGGCGGCCAGGACGTCCCGGAGGCAGAACTCCTCCTGATGGTGGCCGGGCAGGTCAAGAACGCCCTGGGCCTGGAGCTGTCCGACAGCAGCCTGGGGCCGCTGTGGCCGGGCCGGCGGGGCGCGCGCTGGCGGGGCCAGCTGGCCAGCGCGTGGGCCCTGCTGCAGCAGGAGGAGTACGTCTACTTCAGCCTGCTGCAGGACTCGAGTCGGCATGTCCTGCCCGTGCTGGGCTCCTGTGGCCACTTCTACGCAGTGGAGTACCTGGCCGCCGGCAGCCCCCACCACGGGGCTCTCTTCCCCCTGGACGAGGCCACGGGTGTCCCCTGGGGTGGCCGGGGCCAGGCCAAGGCTGTCAGTGACATCGCTCTCAGCTTCTTGGACATGGTGAACCATTTCCACCGTGACTTTTCCCACCGCCTCCACCTCTGCGACATCAAGCCCGAAAACTTTGCCATCAGGAGTGACCTCACAGTAAGTGGAGTGGGCCGGCCGCCGAACGGGCCCAAGCGGGCAGGGCGGCCCGAAGGGCAACCGCCGGCCCCAGGAAACAAACACGGGCCCCTCCGGCAACCCCCCCACCGCCAACCCCCCCCCCTCCCGGGGCCAAAAAAAAAATCAAAAAAACCTAGCGCCTGGGTGGGACTTGGAATAAAAGGAGCCCACGGCAGGGGGCAGAGGCCCGGGTGAGGTCTGTCCTCCCTGAGGCCTGTTCTCCTTCCTTCGGAGCAGCTCAGTGGCTCCCTAGACCCTCTCTGGAGGGTCTGTTTGCAGAGCGGGGAGAGTGACCCGCGGAGGAAGATGTAGGCGGGTGGCCCACGAGAGCCGTTGGCACAGCGGCTCTGGAGACGCTGTTCTCAAACTGCCCATGCTCTGTGACCATATGTTTCTTTTTCCAGTGCTTTTTTCCTGGGGAGGTTCTAGTTTGTTTCCATTCCGTGTGAAATACTTCTAGAGGGACAAGTGGAGTTTTTGCGCCTCCCGCAGGGAGGAACCTGCCGAGTGGAAGTATCCAGGCAGATGCATTTCTACCTCCTGCTCTGGGGCAGTGCAGCCACGTGAGAAATACAACAAGTTGGAGAAAAAGCAGCAAAAGGGCCTTCAGTGTTTCATTATGACATAGTCCCCTTCCCTTCCCCCCAGCTAGGCTAAAACTGGCATGCGCAGCTGCCAGCAGGTGAGCGACCAGCTTAGCTCCAGTCACCTCAGCGAGCTGGCCGTCCTGGGGACTGGCTTGTGGTGGGGAACACTCTTCATGGTCAGAACATAAAGGGACAAAGGGAAGGCGCCATTACTGCCAGCCATGGGCCTCCGTGGCAGGTGGCACAGAGTGGCACAGCCTTCCGAAAGCAGCCTGAAATCGAGAAAACTGAAGTTGCCGCCAGTGTAAATCCCTTCTCTGACCAAGCCTTTGTCCCCATGAAGGGCACTGTAGCATCTTGCCCTCACTGCTTGGTCCTAATGCCTTGTCCCTGGCTGCTGGGGGTGACTCAAAGTGTGGAAGGGAAAGAGCTGGGAGGTTCCAGGAGGTTCCAGAAAGTTCTGGGAGGTTCCAGGAGGTCCACACGCCGTGTAGGGGGCTCAGGGGAAGCTTGGCCCTGTCTGCAATCGCTGTCCGGGCCAAGGCGTCCCTGCTTAGTGAGCAGGAGGATTACATCATGGAAAGGTGCTGTCCACCTCAGGGACGTCCTGGGACGTGGCCACGCAGAGGCCTTGGGGGAGGAAGGCGTGGAGTGTCCACAGACAGTCACATGGCCCGGGGCAGTTGTGGGCCAGTTCTCGGCACTCGGTCACTTGTCCATTCATCCAGCTACTGAGGCCGGGAGAGTGGAGGGGAGGGTGAGGACATCTGCTTGTGAAGGATGCTGAATGGGCACCACTGGACGTTTTAATCTATACGTTTGTTGATAATCTAGTCATTGGTTTGCGTGACCCACCTGAGCTGTGTCTCACACAGCATTTGCACACGATATTTGCTCAATGAAGTAATGACTGTGCACCCTGACCTAGCCCCAAACGGTGTTCTGCAGGCTGGGCTGCCCCCCAGCTGTTGCTCTGCCCCAGCCGCGGCTTGGGTGAGGATGGGCGCGAGACAGGACCATTCCCCTTCTCCAGTTCTGCCGGTCTCCACCTTCCGGCAGACACTTAGGTCTTCTACCTGAGATTTCACAACTTTGAGGAGAAAACCAGCAGTATCACCAGAGAACTTGCTAGAAATGCAAATTCTCAGACCCTACCCCAGACCTACTGAATCTGAAACCCCGGGGTGGGAACCAGCAATAAAACAAGCCTCTAGGTGGTTCTGACTGGTGCTCAAGTTTGAGAACTGGTGAGCTCAGGGACCCAGCAGGGTGTCCTGCATCCGAGCCCACGGTGCTGGCGCGGCCTTGGCGGAAGGAAGGGCCACCTTCCAGGTGCGGTGCAAGAACCGATGGTTCCAAGTCCTCACTCACCTGCAGGCCGGAGGCCCACGTGCAGGTCCTGAGGATTCAGCCAATGGCTGTGAGTGAATCGCCAGGAAATGTCGTGACTTAGGGCCCAGAGCTACTGCCAGCAAGGGCTCCTTCCGAACAGATGAGAGGTTTTCCTGCCCCAGAGCCACGCTTTTCAGGGAAGAGCGAAATAGTTCTCACGGATCCCTTTCTAGTCTGACGCCAGAAGGAAGTTTGACGAAGATGAGGCAAGTTAGGTAATTCCGGCAAGTTAGGAATTTTACGACTCTCCTGATATTAAGAAACGTTATGCAGGTTCTTCTGTTTGTTTCAATACTGTTCTGATTTTAGGTGCATAGGGTTAAGCTTGTAAGACCTGTAATCCATTCTAGGCCGTACACTAAAAGTTAAAAACAAATGTGGCTCTCCATGGGAGATGAGAAGGAAACCATCAGAAATGAGAAGAAGTTGTAAGAAGCTTAAATTCTAAACAGAGGTCTGGAGGGGGCTGGGGAGATTACCAGAAACTGTGGAAAGAAGAGAAAGAGTCTCGTAGCCCCAATACTAAATCGTAAAGACAATAGATTTGCTAGCATAGACTTTGTTCCTTTTTAGCATGTTAACCAGAGTAAATAATGAAATCAGCTATTTATTTTGGCTAAATAATGACATAGGAAAGATTGATTAGAATGATAAATTGTTTGCTGAATTAATAAGTAGGCAAAGCCCCTTAAATAGGGAAAAGTTCTATGTTCTTTGTTTTCATTATTCTCCACATATTTTGAAATAAATTATTATTCCCTCCTGCTCTGTTTTACTAAATAATCCCCAAGAAACTTTATGGCCTTCCAGCATCAACCCTTCACGAAAAACTAAAAGCAAAACCAAAACCAGGGGTGTGCCTCCCACTCTGCGCAGAACCGAGGAGGGAATGAACACCGGCCGACGGAGCCCTCTCCTGAAACGCTACCGAGGGAGAAGGCAGGGCCGCGTCTCCGCGTTGACCTGTGAAGGCTTGTGAAATGCCGCGGACTCCGTCAGACGCGTCAACTTTGCTACTAGCTCTTTAATACCTCGAAGCTATAAACAACCTCATTTGGGCAGATGCCAGATTTTCTCAGGTTTGAGCTCATCATTTTTCGTTGCGTCCAGGTGGTGGAGGAAAATCTGCATAATTTAGAGGTTATTACTTTTCTGTGCTTGAAGTCTACCTGGTTCGAAGCCAGGAAGTTAAATCTGAAACTCCCAGTCCTCGTGCTGACGACTCAGGAGTTGGGCCTGTGGCATCAGGGTTTCTGCAACATCAGTCCCAAGTCGAGAACTTAGACTCTGCCATTCCCCGCCCCCCACCCCGCCGTGGACTCAGGTAACGGATACGCCACAGAGAGAGGACGCATAGGCACAGCTCACCTCGTTTTTGCCATCACACCCCCAGGCCTGCCACTCGGAGGCAGCATCCTTTTATTGCTTGTATTTATAAGGATAGATTATCTGTATCTTACGGCTGTTAGCATTCTGACTCTTGAAGGTCAGAGACCAAAGTGAAAAAGCAACAGAGGGATGTTTTTGGCCAGGCAGGGGGCCTGGAGCCTGTAATCCCAGCACTTTGGGTGGTCAAGGCGGGAGGATAGCTTGAGGCCAGGAGTTCAAGACCAGCCTGGGCAATACAGAGACCCTGTCTGTACCAAAAAAATTTAAAAAATTAGCCAGGCATGGTGGCACGCACCTGTAGTCCCGGCGACTCGGGAGGCTGAGGCAAGAGGATCGCTTGAGCCACTAGTTCAAGGGTGTAGTGAGCTTTGATTGCACCACTGCACTCTAGCCTGGACAGCACAGTGAGACCCTGTCTCAAAAAAAAAAAAAAAGAGAAAAGTTTTGGAGATTCTACTTTTAGAGCTGAGAAAGTGTTTAAAGATGCAAAGTGATACTTGTGGTTATAGTTCCAAATCCTTGGCTTTAACTAGTGACTGCAAAGGTTCTTTTTGCCACTAAAGCCTTGCAGTGTCATCTGTGACAGTTGCTTGTGTGAAGGAAAATACGTGTAATTACTCTGGGGGGAGAAAACTGCTCCCCAGGGCGTGGCCAGGGCTTTTCCTCTTGGCTCGGGAGCTCTGCAATCGTGCAATCTGGGCAACGGCGCCCCCAACGCCGGGAAAAGGAGCCACCAAACAGGCTCCCTCTCCTCCTCGCTGAACCCGCTAGCGTCCCTGTGATAGCCGTGTGCTGTTTTGATTACAGGTGGTGGCTATTGATGTGGACATGGCCTTTTTTGAACCGAAAATGCGGGAAATCCTTGAGCAAAATTGCACAGGAGATGAGGACTGCAATTTCTTTGACTGTTTTTCAAAGTGCGATTTGCGAGTCAACAAGTGTGGAGCGCAACGCGTCAACAGCAACCTGCAGGTAAGCAGCTGCCGCCGCCGACGCAAGGACAGGTCGTGTCCTCCCTGTCATTTCTGCCCCCAGCGATGGAGAAGTCCTTAGCCAAGCTGAAGGCAACCTTTCCACCACTGAAGTGTTCAATAATGGCAGGACAGTGGGGGACGGGATAGTCACTTGTTCTTTGTTGCCTACATCATCTACATAATTTCACATGCACATACACACACACACACACACACACACACACACACACAAAACCCAGAGACCCACCCATCAAGGACAACACCGAAAAGAGTGCAAAGCAGTCCTGAGGAACTGGCCAAGCTCATGAGGTTGGGCAGACACTGCAGCCCAGAGGGGCAAGGGGCAAGGCCAGTAGGTGGCCTGTGGCAGGAGAAGCCACATCAGGGAGGTCACAGCAGGTAGGGACCCACACAGGGCGCGGGCATTCACATCGGGTCTGGCGGCACCGCGGTCCCAGACCCGGGTGAGTTCCCCATCAGTAGGAAAACATCTCTCCTTTCTTGGCCGATGCTGCCCTTGGTGCCCTCACCCGAGGCTCTCAGCTGGGGGTGGACACACCTGGCCCGCGGGTGCCGGCGGCAACAGGAGGAGGCCAAGGCTCTGCCAGGGGCGCAGTGTCCACCCTCCGCCACTGCCTGGCGCGTGCCCTTGCTTAGCTTGGCTCTTGCCCGGCACTCTCCTGCCTTCTCGTTCTCCATCCCACCTGCTTCCCCAGTGCAGCCCCCGCTGTAGCCCGTCCCGTCCTCCGCACACCCGGCAGGCCAGCGTGGCCCGGTGCAGACCTGACACGCAGATTAGAGCGGAGCGGCCGGAGGAACACGGTGTGGCACTGTGTCGTCCCGTGGTGGAGGACTGACTGGGGGACACCTGCTCAGCCCGGTGCTTCATCTGGTGGTTCCTGGCCGGGCCGAGCAAAAGCCCCGATTCTGCCAGCCCAGAGTCTGCACAGACTTCCGGGCCAAGTTCCAGAGTCACAGGTGCTTCCCCTTTTAGGAACCCCAGCCGCCAGAGGCGTCTCCATCCCAGCCTCTTCCATGTCGTGTGGACTCACCTTGCTCGGCCCCTCACGGGGCCATTCTCCCGGAGCTGTGAGAATGGGACGATTTTCACTTAAGCGTCCAGCACCTTGCGATCCCATCCACAAAATGAGACCTCGAACACCTGCCCTTTGCAAGGGAATGAGAGTCCAAGGATACTTCCCTCATCCAGAAAGGGGGGTTCTTACAGGTTCGTTAAGAGGCAAGAGGAACACAAAGAAAATTGGCAAGAGAAGAACAGGTGCCAAGTACATAAGTGATGAAATCCAAATGGCCAAACAACTTAGAAAATTGTTTAATCTTACCATTCAAAGACACATTAAAATCCAATGATAATAAATTTAATTTATCCATGGGAGTAGTCATTAAAATGCTATTAATTAACAGTTGTGACTTCAGGGAAATGGAGAAGTGTCTATATCGTTTACATGATGTAAATTATATATCTCTCTCGAGGGTATGTAGCTGTTAGAAATAGTCATGCCCTTTAGCTTAGCAATTTTTTTGTGCACATATCTGATTATTACCTTTGAATAAAGTCTTAGAAATGAAATTATACTTTCTTTAAGAATATGAGAAAATATGCAGTATTATTAAGAGAAAAAATGCAGGTTAGAAATGAGTATTTACAATATGATCCATTTTTGTTAAATAGTATATGATTGGAAAGGGAGATACCAAAATGTCAAAAGCAATCATTTCTGGATAGTAGAATCATAGATAACTTTCTCCATCCCTTATACTTTTTGAATTTAAAATTTTACTGAAATATCCCTGCCCTGCATAAATTAACAAATCAATGGAATAGAATAAAAAATATTTCAGAAATAGACTTAATGACATAGGAGCATTTAACCTGTGATAAAAGGGGCATTTTAGACCAGTGGGGGGGGCTGGTTAGGTCGCGGAGGCTGCTGGGTGGGTGGGCACAACAGGGTGCCTCCCTGTTCCACTCCAGATTCCAGACGGCGCAAATACACATAAAAAATGAAATCTGTAAAGTACTAGGAAAAAAACTGAGAGAATTTTAAATATTATTCTTGTGTAGGGAAGGCCTCTGCAAGTATGAAACAAAGCCATAAGAGGAACCACCGGCAAATTTAACTGTGTTTCAGAAACAATTCACATGGGCGAAAACAAAATTACAAAAAAGAAGAGCAAATTTAAAAGTTAAATGAGAAAATTTGCAAAATGGTTGCATTTTCCCTTACAGACCAGGTGTGGAGAGGATGGGGGGATTACCCCCCGCTGCCGGGGCTCAAGCAAGTCCCCCCAGGACTGTCTTTGCTGAGGTTATACCCACTGCCCAGGGCAGCTTCTGAGATGGGCCAGTGGGAAGGGGCAGGGCTAGATGCCAAGCCTGGCACCCCTTTGCCTCGCTGAGTGACGACACTGCAGGCCTGTCCCGTGGAGTGTGGTTCCCGAGGACATCCCTCAACCAATCCCTGCAAACCTCCATCTCAGAGTCTACCTGCTGGGGAACCAACCTAAAGCAAGGGGCAAATGTCTTGAAGATATAAAGAGCATCTACAAATTAATAAAAAAGGCCAACAACCCAATAGAAATCCAGGCAAAAAATGTAAACTTGACCATTTGTTGAAAAGAAAACACAAATACCTTCGAACCTAAGAAAAATACAAATTAACCCATTTTCACCCATCTGTTGGCAAAATGAGAGAGTCTGTGACGTGTTGGTTGGGGAAGAACAAGCATTCTTGGACACCTTGCTGAGGGAGTGTAAATTGGTACAACTTTTATGGGGTCAATTTAACAATATCTATTGAAACAAAAAGTGCATATACCCTTTGACCCAGAAATTCAATTTCTAGAAATTTAGTGTCATGTGCAAAATAAAATGATGTATATATGCAAGATATTTATTGCAGCATTGTTTATAGAGCAAAAGTTAGTAAACAACCCCAGTTTCCATCGGGGAACTGGTTAAAGAAGTTAGGTACATCCACACATTTGAGATGTAGCCATTAAAACACATGGAATATACTTATGAGAAATGATTTGGAGGGATCTCCCCGATATGTGTTTAAACGGGGAAGGAATTTGTGTAAAATAAAAGGAAATACGCGCGTAGGCTTGTGCAGGCACAGACTCCCTCGAGAAGGCCATTCACAGAAGCGGTCGCCTTGCAGAGCGGGGAACTGTCTCCAGGGTGGGTGGACACTGAGACTACACCACATCCTTAAGGACATTTTAAATTGCGCACATGAAAATGTGTTCTCTATTCAAAAGAGGAATACAATGATTTGTTTTTTAAAAGAATCCTTGCCTTTGCAGGGATTGGGAAATGCAAGTTAGAATTATTTGTCCTTTGTGAAACTGCAGCTCTGTACGATGGTGGCATTTGTTAAGTGAGTCTGACACGGTGTGATGTAGAAAAATAAAACACTATTAATGATGCAGCTTCTAGGCCAGGTCTCCCAACAGGGGCGGGGAGTGGGGGACTGGGAACGCTATAAAATAAGTAACACGTTGAAATTGAGAATTTCAAGTGGTCTTTAGCAGCGGTGAATTTCATACCCTATTCGAATTATGAGACAGTGGCTTCATTTTTACTTCTGCTCCCAGAATAAAATACTTGGAAGGCTCCTACAACAGCCGTAGGCCTGCAGCCTTTCCCCTCCAATGTACCTTCCTTTCACGAGCCTTCAAGTGCGGAAAGGTCACAGGTCATACGTGCACACTGCTTCTCCCAACGCGCCACGTGACCCTCGGGGTAGCCTGGCAGGGTCGCAGTCGTCACTAGACCCCTCGTGGGGAGGAGACCCCCCCCCCCTGCAGCTGCTGCTGCCCTGGGGCCTGCAGGGCGACTCCTTACGCAGCAGCGGCCGCCTGTGACCTGTGCTGGCCCCGGAGCGCTCCCCATCTGCCGTGGGGCAGAAGCGGGACTTGCCCCCTCGCACGGGGCAGCCTTCTCCTCTCCGGGGGTTGTTCGCAGCGGGGAGCGGTTCAGCTTCCGGACGGGAAAGCACTCTGAGCGCGGGGCCTCTGGAGAGCCGCCCGGGCGCTGCGGGAGGAGAGCCGTGCGCGGAGCCCTGGCGCGCTGGGGAGGCTTCCGAGGGCGCTGAGCCGCCCTGAATTAACCGCCCCCTGCTTTCCCTCAGGTCATCTGCGACAAAATATTTCGCCATTGGTTTTCCTCAGCCCTCAAGAGCTCCGCTGTCTCCCTCCAGCTGCAGCTGCAGTTGCGCGAGGCGGTGCAGGAATGCGCAGACTCCCCGAGAGCAGCCCCCGGTGTGTTCTGGAAGCTTCGCCGGCTCCTCCAAGCCACGCAGAGGGAGCTGCAAGGGGCAGAGAAGTAGCCACTTTTCTGGCCTTAAAAACGCTCGCGCGGGAGCCGTGGCCTTCCAGCGACTCCTGCGGTTGTTGAAAGATGAGACGTTTTCACTTCGCAAACGGACGATCTCTGAGATGCCACCGTGCTCTGCGGAAGTGCGGAATCGCCAGCGCTGCGGGTCCGCTTCAGCGGCGGGGACGTGGCCACCCTCGCTCGGTCCCGGCGCGGTTCGCTCTGTTTCAAGATCCGCGCCCGACCTCCGCCCCGTCACCCTGTGCGACATGAAATGAGGAAGCGGGTACAGAGTATTCGCTTTGGGAGCCTCGTGGTCACAAACACAAAGCCCAGCACGCAGCCACTCTCTGCAGAGAGCGCTGTTCTGCCTGCCCGAGCGAGAGTTCTGGCTGTTCTTCGCATATAGCGTTACCATGTTAAAAAAAGCATGGGTGAGTGTGCACAAGTAAGTGTGAGTGTCTCCACACGCGGGTGTGCCCAAGCGTGTGTGCCCACGAGTGTGTCTGCGTGAGTGTGCGTAGGCAAGTGTGTTCATAGTGCGTGTGTGTCTGTTCACACCAGTGAGTGTGAATGGGTGTGTACTGTGAGTGTGCATGCATGTCAGTGTGTGCATACATGTCTGAGCATGTGCACATGGGCGATTCTGTGCATGCGAGTTGCACAGGAGTGTGTGCCCCTGTGTGTAAGCAGTTGAGTGTGTGGGGCGTGTATGTGTTGGGGTGGGCGAGCTGGGTTCTCTAGGGTGTCCTCTGGGACAAGCTGCCTGCCTAGCAAAGAAGTTACCTTTCTTTTGGAGTTAAATACAATAAAAAACAAAAAGTTCCGTCTTTAGGGAATGTCATTTGCGTTGAAGAGCGTGTGATGGCAGCTTATAGTGTTTGCATCTTGCGGAATCCGCTGGCTTTATGGGTCTGTCTCAGGGAGCACTTCGCCGCTCAGCAATGCATCTTCCTCCCGCGCAGGGCTGTGGGTTTGCTCAGTGCGGTGCTGTCTTGCTGCTGGAGAGAGAATTTAGAGTAGAGCGAGTGCCGAGGTCAGCACTGACTGCAGATGGGACTGGAGACCAGCACCTTCCCTTTACTGACTGAGACCGAGTCACAGGCACTTTTGGGACGCCTGTGTCCAGGCCATGCTCTGGGTCTGCACCTGGGCTCAGCCTGAGAACATTACTGGAGGCGCCAGGATGGCCTGAGGCCCCCAGCTCTGAAGTCTGCCATCCCAGAAGACTTGCCCGAAGGCCACCGTTACCTGCTAGCCCTGTCCCCTCTTCCATCACCATGAGCAGTTTTCCCAATGACACTGAATTTCACAAGGGGTCCCCTTTCATTGGGTGTAGGAGACTCCCTTTGTGTTCTTTGGCAGGAAGGAAAACCCATGTCAGTCGCTCTTGTGGCAGAAGGAAATTAAAACCCCAGTTTGATGCCCAGGCCTAAGACCCGTGGATTAGTGGATCCCGAGGGAAACAGCTGGCTTTGGAACCCCGAGCGGAGGCTCCCATTGCACCAGCCCTGCACCAGGTGCCGACACTTTTCTGGATGGTGAGGGGCTCACCTGGAACCATGGTCACCTTCTGGGTGGGTTCTTTATGAGCAAACATGTTTACAGGAGGACAGGTGTGAGACAGCGGGGGAGGGAGGGAGGGAGGGAGGTAGCCAGGGCTTTGCCATCTGTGACCTTCAAGAGCGGAGTTTTGTGCTGGGAGGTCAAGCGGTCTCTAGTGGGTAGACCCTGGGGTGACAGCCCTTCCTTAGTGGCTCTGAGCTCACTGGCCAGGCAGCAATGCTACCAGGAAAGGGGACAAGTTTTCATATCACCCAAAGTGGAAGCAAATGTTTTTCTTTACCATGGAGACTATGCAGCATATAATTACCCAACACAATAGTGGTTTTCTTGCCGGGAGGGAGCTGTTTTATCTCGTTCCCGTAATGTTTGGCTACGCAGTTACACACACACACACACACACACACACACACACACACTCGCCCTTTCCCCTCCCTGCCTGGAGAACTCCCCTTAGGGCGGTGGCTCTGTCTGTGGCGAAGTTTAGTTTTTAATTTTCAAACCCTTGCAAAAGAATGCTTTTATACAATACAATAAACAAACACTGTATATCAGTATTTAGTAATTTAATGTCACAAATGAGATTGCTCCTTGTTGATCTAATCGAGCGACAACCCTACTCGTCAGGGAAAATGTCTACCTAAATGGTTTCTATGTTTTGTTTTAATAACATGGAAAGACAAAAACACTCTCAGAGATATGTTGATGGGAATTGAAAAAGAGATTATAAAATAAGCTCAGCAAACTCAGCCTATCCCTTTTTAAATTGTATCCTAGTTAAAACAAGTAGTGATTTGTTTATCTCCAATCCTTCTCAGCAGTCAATTCCCACCATTTATCTTGAAAAATCACAGTTATAACGATCTTACGACGAAAAAAGTGATTCCAGAATTGTTTCCCTGTTGCGTACAGCTCACAACCCTCAACACATCGTGGGCTGTGACGATGCTTTCCTGTGCAGACATCGTAGGTGGCTCAGGCCCCAGGTTTGTGGACACCTGAATTGGTCAACAAGTAGGTGGACACCCAGGCAATGTCACGTACTGATGCAAACGTTTCCAAATGCTGCCGATATTGCTAAACCACCTTTACCAATTCTCATCTCCTCACACAAGGCAAGTGGCTAACAGTTCACAGACATGCTCCTCCGAGAAGTCTGCCAGGCTAAGCCTCTCATGGGTCCTGCCCCGTGCTAAGGCCCAGCCTGCCCTGCCCACTTGGAGCACCCAGGATGAATGTCCAGGACATTACATTATCTTAAATTATGGGAAGAATAGCGTTTCTTTTTTTCAAACAGGTTCTCGTTTTTATTTTTTATTTCAGAATATTACGGGGGTACAAACACTTTGGTTACATATATTGCCTTTGCACCACCCGAGTCAGAGCTATAAGCATGCCCATCCCCCAGACAGTACATACCGCACCCATTAGGCGTGAATTTTACCCATCCCCTGCCGACCCACATGCCTGATAGGTGATAAATGTTACTTCCAGATGTGCACCTAAGTGTTGATCAGTTAATACCAATTTGATGGTGAGTACAAGTGGTGCCTGTTTTCCCATTCTTGTGATACTTCACTTAGTAGAATAGGCTCCAGTTCTATCCAGGATAATACAAGAGGTGCTAGATCACCATTGTTTTTTATGGTTGAGTAGAACTCCATGGTATACATATACCACATTTTATTAATCCACTCATGTATTGATGGACACTTGGGTTGTTTCCACATCTTTGCAGTTGTGAATTGTGCTGCTATAAACATTTGAG